CCATCTTCATCTTTTCTCTGGATAAGGTTGAGTTTGCCAAAGACCTCTTTCAAGGGCGGTGCTGTGTAAAGCTTTACCTCGTTCCACTTGGTGCAGTAAAAAAAGTGGTTCATTATAAAGAGCACTGGGTTTCAAACCAGGACGCCTCGGCTTGAGTCCAAGCTCCGCCAGAACCAACTATGTGGCCTTGAGTAAGTTGGAGAAAATCTTTCAGTCTCAGTTTTCTTTTCTGAAAAAAACACAGACATCCAATGGCTACGTCCAGCGGGTGGGATATCAGAGAATCACGCGACACTGTAAGGGCTGTGGCTGTGTACCATGTATTTTTGGAGCTATTACTTAACTTCTATGATTGAAGTTTAAGGTTTCACTGGATCTTTCACCATTTGCATCAGAAAGCTGCACACTCAACCATCAAACATCTGCAGTCTTTAATAATAATTGCTACCTAGCACTATCTTCTAGGTACAAGACACTAGGCTAGATCTTTCATAACTAATTTTCAGAAATTTTTACACACTGAGAATTTTTTTTCTTCCTTTTATAACAGCCAATGCTGGCTGAATATTACCTTTTCGCCTTTCCTGTTCCATGTGTACCCATCAGAGAAGACATCATTCATTAGAGGATATCCTTTCCAGATAAAGTTAGACTTTTCAAAGGTCAAAGTGTATGAGAAGCTACCCTCCCCACACATCTAAAAAGTCAGTCGTCAGATCACAGCAGAGATAGGAGTGCATGATTCTGCTGAAAACATGTTGACATGGCTCTCAGTTTTCTAGTTAGCAATGAGAGGTTTAACTAAGCCATTTCCAAACCTTGCTCTGAAAAGCCCTAAGGGTTCCAGGAGACGCCGGAGGCTGTGGGCCTGGATGGGGTAAGGGAAGGCATTCTCTTAACACACACGCAAATGCACACACCAGCAGCCTGTCTCCTGTTTGTTTATCCTGGGTTCCAAGCAAGATTACTTGACGAGATGATTCTGCTTCAGTTGCTCCAAAGTGGTTGAAAGCCATTTAAACTGTATAATTGCTAAGGCAGCTTACGACTCATTCATTCTGTGAAAAATCTTCTTGTCTGTAGACAGTGACTGAGTGATTATCAAAACCCAAGATGAGTACTGGGAGATACATGTTTTTATTTTCCTTCCTCTAGCCCAGGCTGCTGACCTTGGGAATCTTTTTTTAGTAGACTGGCTGCTGGTGATTTGGAAAGGTAGGATGTTTCAGACTTATTTCTGTCAACAAGCAGAGTCCTGCTGGGTGCGATGCTTCTTGATTCATTTACCCCAACACTCAGAAACAGCTTTTGTAAGCATTCAATCAGTAGTTTTTAGATTTGTGTTCCCAAGGGCATCCCGTAAGAAGAGGTTTCCAATGTTCTCATTTACAACCCTCCCCCCCTTTTTTAAATAACAAGAACTGCTGTATAAGAAACTTAGAAAAGATTTTTGCTTCTTGATTTTTGACTATGCAAAATTTCAATTTTAACAACTTCTTTGGCCCAAGAAATTCAACTGTAAGTTTAACGTAGTTTAATTTTCAAAATGTGGGGTTTATTTTGTAGTTAATGGTGGAAAAAATTGAGTTCTTCAACATCACCCCCACGTAACCCAGCTTAATCCAAGTGCTAACAGGTCTAGCAGTGAGAAGAGCAAACCTTGGATAATCTCCGTCCTTAAGAACATACAATATTCATGGGTGTGGGAGAGGGGTATGCTTTCTCTGTCGGTATGTAAGTAATACCAGAACCATGCGTTCACAGGCTGTTAAAGAATGAACTCCACTATTCCTGGGCCAGGAGACACAGACACAAAAACAACACAAGCCGACAACTAGATCCTCTAAATTCTGTAAGTGTTTATATGATTGCTCCTTTGTTAACAAACTCATTCACTTAATGAAAGGGGCTGGCCCTACTGTAGACCAAGCTCTGATCTAGTGCCTGGGACTCAACGAGATGAACCAACAGGTAACATGTCCCATACACACATCCCAATTTAGTGGGGAAACAAGTGAGTATTTAAGCCTTGAATAAAAGCAACATAAATTTCAAAAAGGAAATAAGGTGTCTCCAGTTCATATCACTATCTTCTGGCTACTTTTGGTCACTGTTTTAATTTTTTTCACTACTAACTAAACTTTGGGCTTACCTGAACACCGCCAGTTTTTCCATTTATGTCTTCTTTCCTTTCCAGGGTCTAATCCTGGGGTCTGCATCGCATCTACCTGTCCAGTCTCCCAAGTTGCCTCTGATCTGTGACAGTTTCTATTTTCCTATTTTGCATGATCTTGACAAATCTTGAGATTGGCCTCGTGTCTATCCTGTAGAATGTCCCCTACTGGGATGTGTCTGATGTTTTTCTTATGATTAGACGGGAGTTATGGGTTTGGGGAAAGAAAACCACAAAGGTGATACGCCCCCATCGTACCATCTTTCGCGGTGAACACAACCACAGGGCGTCGCTGATGATGTTAACGTCTGTCACCTGGTTAAGAGTGACTGCTAGGCTCCTCCTCTGTAAAGGTACAATAGCTTTTCCAAACTTTAATCCCGCGAGGGAAGAGTAAAAAAATTCCATTTGTTATTTGAAATTCTTCCCTAAAGAATATTTGTCTCTTCTCTCCTATTTTACATTCATTTATATATATGAAATTTATTGTCATTTACCTGTATCTGTGTGGATTCATGGATAGTTTACACTTTGGGTTATAACCCAATACTGCATGACTTATTTTGTTGTGGATCATTCCAGCTTGGCCTATTGGGAGCTAGTTTGTATTTATTATGTTTGAAATATCAGCTGTAAGGGTTTCCATCTAGGTCAGTTCCCGAAACTCAACACTCTCAAACGGTAACTGACCCACAATAATTTCTAATACCTAACAGTCCTTTCCTGCTTAATCACACTGGAATTTATTCACATCAACAGGTCTCAACAAGTCTTGTGTCGTAACTGTATTACTTCTCCTCTGATACGTAAGAAATCTACAACCCATGTAAGCAAATCAGGCTGTATGCCCAATGGCCCTGTTATTAACCCAACAAGCTTAGTTTTGGCAAGATGATTTGCTGCACTCTAATAATCCATTTAACGGCACAAAATAAATGCACAGATCTCTTTTTGTCATGCAGAAAAGCAAAAGCAAGATTTTAGCTAGAAGTCAAATAGTGACCAAGACGGTCCTAAAACTAATAAAAATCCAAGGAAGTTGTTTGTATGCTGATGAAGCACACTTGTAAACTTTCACAGACTTTTATTTTCAGGTAAGCCTGCATACCTGTTGTATTTGGTAATTTGCTCACAGTCTGTTACTTCTTTTTCCTGTAGACACCTGCATTATTAATAGGTACCAACATTAACATTTTCTTGATCTTTCATAATGCCAATTTCTCGGGAAAAAGTCCAACTGTTAGGAAAAGGTTATCAATTCTCCTACGATTTTCCACTTGGCCACACCCAAAATGACCATTCACAGTACCTGAAACTTTGGTTTTTCTCTGTATGAATCCAAGACAGCTGTCCTCCAGCACAGTGGGTCTTCAAGTACAAAGACTAAATTAAAATGTGCTTACATAGTTTATTTTTAAAGTAATTTAAAATACAGTGTAAACATACATTAAAGATACTGTGGCAATTTAGATAAGGAATAACGAGGTTATTTACATGTTTGTATATGTATGCGTGTATATATATATACACAAAGTGCAGATAAATATAAAAACACTACAAAATAAACAAAAAATTCAATATGATAATTTACTGACAATCATCTTCATATTTATCACTTAATTTGTCATGTTAATGGCTGCAAATTCCTAGTACTGAAATAGATCATCTAAATAGTCAATTTTTATATAAACTATAGTACCTCAAATTTTAACAGTATATAAATAGGATTCTGAATTAAAAATGAAAAGACAAAAAACAAAAAAACAAAAAAACCCCACCTTCCCTGCCACACTCCCTATTTATTTGTAAAGGTTTCAGCTCAGAGTTCAACAGGACTCTTGAAATCACAGCCCTCAAATATGTGATGACATCTAAGCTTTTAAGCATAGATCACAACTGGAGATAGAGAGGCAGATATCAAATCTCTAACATGCTGCTGTATGAAAAACAACGCACACTTTTAATCCAAGAGACCATGGGTTCAAGGCAAAGTTGGGCCGTTCTGAACCCTGGAAGGGTAAAGACCGTGGGAAACACTGCCAAGAGCTGGTACAAAGGGAAGAAAGGGGCCACCTAATTAAGGTGGCAGAGGCACCTGTGGCCCCCACCCCCTCCAGCACTTAAGGTCCTCAAGTGCTCCTGAACCTGAACATCCTGGATGACGAAGGATGTTTATGTCTGTGGTAACTGTAAATGGCCCCTGCCTTTTGGGGGCTCCTCAGAAGGCACACAGACGCCATTTCTCCCTACAGCACCAAGAAAGAAGTGTTCAGCTTCTGAACTTGGCATCTCTCTCATGAGTGACAAGGAGAGGAAGGATGAGCTGTTGGGCTCCCTAAGTCACGCAACAGCCTTTACACGTTGGTCTAGAATATGTAGATCAGTATTCTGCCTGGGGCCTGCTGTGGATGCTGGCAGCATTCTTACTTGAGATTCCTCGTTCAAAACAGTGGATGTAACTGCCCTATAAAAATGAAAAATCCTGTTTGTTGATCTGATTGTCTCAAAGGCCATGTCATTCACAAGCCTGAATTTGTCCAGGGTTACTACCACCGAGATTTGAGGCAGGGAGATACTTGTGACAATGAATGGAGACACTGAATGCGTTCAGGAGATATGGACTCGCAGATAAATACCTGAAATTAAGTCTGTGGGTCTATAGGAAAGAGGCAGAAGACCATTCAATAGACTTCATTTGCAAAGAGTGTTTTGATTTTGGAAACTAACCAAACAAGGTAGGAGGGAAAAGGAAACAGCAATTTCTACCCTATGTGGGAAATCTTTAGTAAAAAGGCAAATAACTTCTGGACAGTAATCAAGTCTCTGCTTTTTTTTTTTTTTTTTTACCAAGAGATATGATTCTGGGGTCCAATCCTGTGCTGTTAGGTCACAGGAACAGCTGCAAATTACAAATGTACTCTAAAACCAAAGAACAAAATCTGTTCCTAAACTGCTCTACCTCTACTTCAGTCAATAAAATACAAATCAAGTTCGGGTTCTAAATGCTGATGAAAGCATCACAAAAAGAGAACTGGTGGGGGCATACTAGACATTGAAGCTGTTTGAAGAAAGGCTCTGAGGGACTCTTCTAAAGCAGCATCCGTGTGAACGAGACCCTCTCACGTCGGACACAGACAGACCTGAAGATGAGGCTGGGAGCGAGGAGGTTAGCAGGTGCTACCTTCCCAGGATTGCAGGGCTGGATTTATTTCCTTTACATCATGGTGGATTTTTAGAAAACATGCCACCCTATATAAAATCAACTATTGCAGAAATAAAACAAAAAATTGTGTCCTTTTATTCTTCCTATTTGGGAACCTGGAGAGTATGGAACTGTAAAGAACGTTTTTTAAAAAATCTCAACCATTCCTGAAAGAACCAGCAAAGGAGCCACTGCTGAGAAGCCTGGTAGCGCCCACTTAGTGCAAAGCACAGGGAGCCGACACAGCTGGGCAAACCACTTCCACTGAATAAGGAGATGTGGCACTTCCTCATCTGCCACAGACCTCAGAGGAATACAGGGATGGTTCAACTGCTCAGACATTTACACGTAACACAACAGAAAAAGCCTTCGGTTGACTGACTAGTAGTTTCTATAAAGTTGGCGGAGTTACAGCACAACAGAAGAGTCACCTGTTAGTTACATACAGGTTTTGTTTTGAGGATATTTTCACATAACAGATGAGAAGACTGACTGACTCATCAGTCTCCTTCTCATCCTGATTATACTGGCAGCAGTGATTGGGGCGCCCACGTTTGCGTGTGTGTCCAATGTGGGAAGTCTAGCGGGTCTTCACTATGTCTCTGCAAAGCTAAGGTTTCATTACTGAAATGCTGCTACGATTTCAAATGTGATCATCTTCTCTCGGCTGGCATTGCCTTCTGGTGCAAGTAATATTCCTTAGAATGTAGAGCACATGTCCTGACTTTTCTCAATGCCCACAAATACCTTATCTGTTGGCAACGTTTCTAGGGAAAAGCAGGTTCCGCCTGCCTCCAACACATGGCCACGACTTGCTTCCACACACAGTCAGTATGAAGAAGAAAGCCATCCTCACAAATCTGTGAGATTAAAACACCAAGTAAAAGCACAATTTGAGCAAGCACTTTTGCCGCTTGTTTCAAAAAACGGACCCTATCCAGGACTGGCCCCAGCTATGCCTCCCCAGGATAAAGGAGCAGGGCTCCCCACGCACATCCGTTACAGCCCGTGCTGTCTCCTCACTGAGCATCCGTGGGATTAGCCCACAGACAACTCCGAGGCAGGGACACTGTGGCCTGTGTTAAAATAAAATGAAGGCTGAGATTTCTTTATGCAGCAGCAAGTGAAGCAGGAATCACTGTTTTGGAGTCAAGTTGGTCTCTGAAAGAAAATCAGTTTGTCTTCAGAGGCTCTCATTTAGTCAGATGCCAAATGCTAGCCAGGACGCTTAAACTGAGGGTGTTGTAGACTCAGGGACTGGTCCACTAGAAAGACCACCTCTGTCCCAGCAGAGGGTAGTCGGGGTGTGAACAGTACGATTACTACTCCTGAGGGCCACCGAGGAGCCAGAGATCAAGAAGCTCTAACAACATATAATCATAGTGTATAAAAGTCAATAGCAGCAGGTAAAAAAAGGCAACAAACTTATCAGGTTTTTTCATTATATTACTAATTTTTATAACATTAAATAGTTTTCATCCCTTTATTTCAATGCACTGATATTTACTTCTGGTTGCGAGTCCGTCTACGGTTCTCTCTTTTACATTCTCATCCATTATTCCATTTTTAATTTTAAAAGCACAAATGCTCCCAGGCATAGTTGTGCATGTGGGCATGTATAATTTAACCTATTAACTCTAGAAACATTAAAGTAGAAGAGACTGAGATTACAGATCACAATATCACGTTAAGAAGAAATGTCTATAGTTGGTACCTGAGTGTCTGTACAGTGAGGAACTGTGAAGCAACAGGTAAAATGCCATGGCCAAGGGGCCAGCACCGTGGCAGTCGATGGCAGGGAACCAGCTTTTGAGAATCTTTAGAAGAAAGGCTCTTAGCCACATATAGAAACAATGTGAGGATTATTCAAATAGAAACAATAGAACTAATGGTGGATGCATGGCCAGATGTTGATGGCATATATAAATGGGTAGTAAATATCTATTTCTATGCTCTATAAATTCAGTGAAATCCCTAATAAAGGTTGTAAATCGAAAGGCATACCCGAAAATCATGTATGACTTTATTCTTGCTAAAGATGATGTAACAATTTCAAACCCCAGTTCAAAACCATTTAAGAATCCTGTATAAAGAGTTTGATTCTGTTTCAACTAAGCATAGACTTTAGAAGGCATGTCTCTACTAGTGTCTTAAAACAGCATCTTTATCACTTGTAGGAGAATTTCTCAAAACCCCAAACTAGACACCAGTAAGAGACTTTCACACTTTACAGAGCTGCAGGTAGAGCTTATGTTGTATGCTTGTACACGGCACCTTTACATTGCTTTCCTATTACTGCAGTTACACATCTGTGACACCACTACAATGATACTACCAGAGGATATGTGCGTGTGACTTACCAGCATTTATAGGTTAATGGAATAAAATTTCATAAAATCTCAAAGTTATAAAGGTCATTTTACACATCCTCTAAACCAGGGGTCAACAGACCGTGACCCAGGAGTTAACCCTGGTCTGCCACCTGTCTGTCTACGGCCCACAGGCTTAGAACAATTCTATTTTTAAATGGATTTTTCAAAGTCAAAGAAGCTTAATATTTCATGACACGTGATAACCATGACTGTCAAATTTCAGCGTCCTGAAATAAAGCTGTATGGGCATACGGCCACACCCATTTACTTGTGTCTCTGGCCACCTTCTGCTACAATGCAGAGTGGACTGGTGTGACAGAGACCACAGGTCCTGCTAAGCAGAAAATATTTACCATCAGGCCTTTACGGAAATAGTTTGCTGGTCCCTGCTCTAAGCCCATGGAAGGTGTCTGGAATGCTGCACAGAGCGTTTACAGCAGAATCAGTGTATGACCTAATTCGGTTTCATTTACAGACATCATATACATTATTGCTTTTGAATATTATCATCTACTTGGTAAACAAATAAAAATAAATCTATGTTAAAAAAAAGCGCCTTATTTCCTTGAAATGTTTAGGACCAGCAAAACAATCATATATAATAGCAGTATATTTTTAAGAAAAAAATCATAATAAATGAACAATTTAAATTACATTTTTTAGTAATGGTTTCAAGGTTTCTCAGAGAACACCAGACAGTAACAGGCAGATCTCAAAAGTCTTATAGCAGATTTCTGGTTTCCAAATTTTGGGGATATAGTAGTACTTAACACAGCATTTGAGATTACAATTGTTATGAAAGAGACATTGTGGAGAGTTACTTATCTAAAAAAAAAAAGGAAAGGGGCAAGCTACTTCAAAATAAGAAACCAGCCAAAAAAGAGAAAAAGAAAAATGAATGGCGAACAATTTAAACACTATTTTCCTTTCTCTTAATAGGGAGCTACATAGTCTGCTGGTGTAGAACTTGATAGAAATGGACTGTCCTCATTTTAATGGGCTGATCCCCATATCTGTGTCAGATAAAATCATAGCACTTATTGCTTGTTACCATGGATACCATGAAGATACTGCCATCCACTAAGTAGTCTTAGAGGAAGACAACGTAATTTTCTGGGACCAGTCCTGTTTTGCCTTCATAAGTTGCCTTCAACCATCCTGGTTCCACTGATGGGTACACTGGCAAAAATAAGAATAAATGAGTAAGTGTCACTCAATGGACGTTAGTTTTAAATAACTATATACAGAGATGGGCAAAAATCCACATCAGATTGTATGCATACACTCAAGCTGTCCAAACAACGTCACAGCGCCTGTAACGCTGGAAAGGTCTTTTGCGTTCACATGATCACTCTTTCTCTCTTACACGGGGCAATAACTGGGTCCAGAGGGATTTGAGGTGTTCACTCGCACAAGTATGAGAGGAAGGGCCTGGACTTGCGTCTGAGCCTCCTGGCTTCTATCTGAGACTCTTCCCGCTACACTGCTCCTTCCTCCCCAGGATGAGGGACTTCAGCGAAGGGAATGGGTGTACTCACCGTTGGAAAAGATCGCCCCCTGGGGGAAGGAAAGCTCATGGCTGTGCTCTGCCTTACAGGAGTACATGGCTTTGGCTTGGCTGAAAAGAGCAAAGGAGCTTTGTGAAATCCACAAGACTCAACTCAGGTACAATTACACTGAAAACTATTCTTTAAAAAAATGATACTAGTTTTTAGTTATAACTGAAGCATAATATACATAACGTGGACACGTAAAGCGTGCGTTTAAGTGCATTTCACAAACTGAACACACTTGTGTAACCAGAGAACACCGACAGTGCAGCCAAAGCCTGCCTTGTGTTTCCAGGCAATGCCCCCGAGGGGAGCCACCAGGCTTCTAACAAACAACATGAGCCGGTTTCAAAGAAGGCTATCATTTAGTCATCAACCTGCCACTGACCAGGCTATCTCTGCAGCTTTAGAGAGGTTCGTAGGAACCTTAAAGTTTTACTTCTTTATTTACTTGCAACTTGAAAAATTTTTGATGTATAGTTTGAAGTACAGTCAGCTTACAAAGTGTCAATTTCTGATGTACAGCATAAAGTTTCACTCATACATATACATATATATATATATATATATATTCTTTTTCATTGTAGGTTACTACAAGATATTGAATGTAGTTCCCTGTGCTATACAGTAGAAACTTGTTATTTATCTGTCTTATATATAGTAGTTGGTATCTGCAAATCTCGAGCTCTCCCAATTTATCCCTTCCCACCCCTCTTGGTAACCATAAGTTTGCTTCCT